CTCTTCTTTCTGATCTTAGTCTATCAGTTCTCATCAAAAGTGGCTGCATTGTCCTCTACTGTGGCCTGGTAAGGCTGCTCCCCCCTTAGGGGGAGGTGATCAAAGAGCAGGCCAATCAGATTATGTCAGAGGCAGTCCCTCTTCCCATTACTGTGTAACCCACTTGGACACTGAACTGCCATGGGCTACACCTGTGCAGGGGTTCCAGGTCATCTCCACGAATAGTCCTTGGTTGGAGTATGAGTCTCTGGGAAGTTCCCTGTGTTCAAATTATCTTGTTCTGTTGCTCTCCTTGTGGAGTTCCCGTCCCCTCCAGCTCTTACTATTTCCCACTTTTTACATAAATTTTAAGCACAAAAAGAGACTTGCCTTTGTAGGAACAGGATTTACTTTTACTCACTTAGAGAAAGAAAATATGTGTGTATATAATATATATAAAATAGGTAATGAATGTCTAGATCTATGTAAATATACTGACAAATACTATATATGCATAATAATAATATAAATATTATATAGTTTATATAATAAATGAAATATTTTTACAAATACATTATTTAGACTTTCGAAAATCTAAACGTGTAAGTTTAGGGGTTCTGTCTTTGCATATATTTTGGTTGGTTTTTTTGACAGTTCCATACATGTAGATGATACATGCATATGATACATTCTGCTTACTCTCTCCCCATGCCCTCTCTTATCTTCCTCTGATCTATGTCAACAACTCTCCCTTCAGCTCTACCAGTCCCTGGCAAGTTCATGGCTTTTGACTTTGTTTTGTCACCCTGGTTGAACCAGGGCCATCTCTCTGACCATTGGATTGGAACTACCCGTTGGCACTTAGTGGGCCCAGCAGTGGGTGCACACATAAAGGCAGTGATGCCGCCCTTCCTGAGTCTATCCATAGCAAGTAGTCAAGCAGAGAGAGCAGAGCCCTCTTCAAGCCGTGGCTAACTAAGCCCGGTGCAGGCAGCCCCAGGTGCTATGAGTTCGTGATTTCAAGGACTGTGTCTTGTCCTGAAGATGGCATTTTATAGCCCTTCTCCCCATTTCTGAGCTCTTCCTTTATTTCCACCCCTCTTCTGCCATCTTCCCTGAGCTTTAGAGGGGATGGCATAAATGTCTGTTTGGGAGCTGAGCATTCATCCTCATTTATTCCCATCACCTTGCACAATCATTAATCTCCACATTAAACACCACTCATTAAAAAGAAGCTTCTCTGATTAAGGATAAGAGTAGAATGTGTCTATGACTAGAAGCAAATATTTAGAAGGCACTAACAGTCAATAAGGGTTATCCTTTCCCGACAGCCTCACCAGCATTTGTTATTATTTGATTTCCTTATTATTGCCATTATGACAGGATGAGATGGAATCTTGAAGTTGTTTTAAACTGCATTTCCCTGATTGCTAATGATATTAAATACTTTTTTATTATTTGATAATCTTGTACATGAATACAATATACAAAATTCCTCTGCTCCAATTGCTCCCTGCCTTCCCTGTCACGACTCACACAACACACTGAGCCCACCCCGTGTTGCCAGTATGTGCATGGATGTAGGCCATCTCCTAGAGCATGTTTCAGTGGCCGCTGTTGTGAAGAAAATGAACCTTCTTTCTCCCATCAGTCATCAATTGCCGAGGGCCCCTCATCTAAGGATAGAACTTCAAGGCCTCCCTCTCCCACCCACCCATGCTGATACTGTTCTCTTGCTTGAGCTAGCTGTCACGGTCACCACCGCGAGTTCATATATGTATCTCTTCTGTCATGTCTAGGAAACACTGCTTCCTTAAAGTCATCCACCATCTCTGGCTCTTACTATCTTTCCACATGGATCACTGAAGGGAGAGGCAGGATATATACATCTCATTTAGTGATAATCACTTCTGCACATTATCCAGCTGTGGATCCAGTGAAAATTGCCACCTACAGCTTCTCTGAGGAGTGTTGAGTGATGCACTGATCTATGAATATAGCAACAGGTCATTGGAAATTATTTTATTACTATGTCCATTTATCATAATAATAATGTCTTAGTGACTTTTCTATTACTGTGATGAGACCCAAGGCATCAAATAGAAGAAAGAGTTTATTGGGGGCTTACAGTTCAAAGGGTGATTCCATGACCATCATGGTGGGGCTCATGGCTCATGCAGGCAGGCATGGTGCTAGTGCAGTGATTGAGAGCCTGCATCTAATCTACAAGCAATGAGTAAATAGAGGCAGAAAGACAGAGACACAGACAGACAGACAGACAGACAGACAGACAGGGAGAATACTAACTGGGAATGGTTGGGCTTTTGAAACCTCAAATCCCAGCCCCAGTGACACACCTCCTCCAACAACTCCAAACCTCTAGTCCTTCCCAAACAGTCCACCAACTGGGAACCAAGTATTCATGAGCCTATGGGAACCGTTCTTACTGAAAACACCACAAACAGTAGGCTTTTCCCTACTACTGTTTCCCCATGACCTATTTAACCACAGGTTTTCAGCATCAGTGATAGTGTCAAATATGGGTTTCTTCTCATGGAGCAGAACTTAAATCAGTCAAAAAGTGGTTGGTCGCTCCCATAATATTCATGCCACTATTGCAACACTGGGCATATCTTGCCAGGCAAGTCATTATTACAGTTTTCAGGGTTCACAACTGGGTGAGTCTGATTGTTTCTTTTCTCCTCTGGTGGCAAGTGTAGCACCTTCCAGTACTATGAAAACTAGCCAGGATAAAGCTTTTGCTTGAGTACTACCTAGATTTCTCCATGTTCATGACTCAAGTATATAGACTACAGTGTTTAAAAGGATGAAAGTGGAAAATGGAACAGGAAGGATTAAAACGGATGGAGAAGGTGAAGGCAGAGTAGGGAATATAGAAAGGAATAACTATCACTGACAGCCTTTTGGAAAACTCACATGGAAACATACTACTTTATGCTATTCTTCATCCTGTGGTAGTCAAGGACAGCTGTCAGCATCTGTATAAAGAACAGAGGGACCCCGAGATCTGAGGCTCCATTTCTCTCAGGAACAGCAGGAGCACTTTCAGGTAAAGCCCAACTGCTAGGCAAGGCTCCTGGTCACACTGGGGAAGGTGGTGTTACATGTAGCTCTTTTAAATGAGATTGCTGGTATCAGAGGCCTTGGAAATTGGGGAGTTCCAGAAGTGTTACAGCCCTTCGGTTAAGCCACTGTATTAGCAGCAGGGGTACATGTGAAAGCCCATGCCTGGTCAGCTTGCAGCTGGAACACAAGCCTGGTGAAGCTCAGGCCCAGTGGGCTGGAAAGTAGATCTGGTGAGGCACAGGCCCAGTGGGCCAGAAGACCGGTGGGTACTTCACTGGCTGTGCTGCTGGGAGTTCATGGGCAAATTTCCAAGGAGAAGGAGAGCCCTTCCTCCGAACCCTCCCTTCCCTGGAAAAAAATGATGAATCTCAAGTGGCCATGGTGGAGAAGTGGAGTGAGAAAGAGAAATTTATTTTGTGAACTGAGGACTTATAAACCTTGGGCAGGGGTAGGGGTTCCCAGAGTGAATGAGTTTGACCAAATAGGGCTGAGGTGCCAGGATTACTTGATTTACATGTGTGGTTCAGTAGCTCATTTCCATGCAGTAGCATGGTCCTATCACAAGAGGAGAAATAGCACTTAATTATCCTATGGGTGGGGGAAATCTCCAGGTACAATTGACAGTTTGCTTAAAGCTAGGATCCCCTTAACATAGAGTGGGGTATTTCCAGGAATTGCCAGTTCTTGGTTTCTTATTAGGAAAAGGTCAGGCCTGTAATCTTCCTTGAAGGCTATCTGACTTCCCAGATCAGGCAAAGAGAGAACCGTGCTGAGAAAAGGAGTCCACCATTATAGACTGAGCTCAGAGTCTATCCAGGAGCATCAGCCTTCGACCTTAACCAGCAGAGCGAGTCCCACAGCCTTAGAAGCTTTCTAATATGTGTATGAATAAGAGGTTTAAATGGAAATTACTCTGTAATGAGGGTACAATACTCCAGTTAGATGCTATCAGATAAAACCCCAGTATCAAGAATGGACTACCTCGTTTTGAGTTGTTGGTCAATGGGATTACATAACATCCTCCTCCCAGAAAAAAAAAAAAAATTTACAGGCTATCACCAGGCCTATTGGTAACCCTCCCGAACTTGACAGTAAGACTCTACTATTCAGACTTTTAACATTTTCAGTATAGAATTCTCACCGTCTTGGTTAGATTACCTCAGAGGTTGTTTTGTTGCTGCTGCAGCTGCTGTTGTTTTGGTTATTATTTGGCTATTAGGATTGTTTCCCTGTTTTCTGTCTCAGCATGTTTGTCACTGATGTCTAAAAAAGCTATCGGATTTTGTATGCTAATTTTGTATCCTGCCACTTTGCTGGGTTTTTGTTTATTGGTTCAGAATTTTCTGGTTACATCTTTAAGGTCTTTTAATAGTGATAAAATATCACTATTTTCAGTGATATCACCTGAAAATAGGAGTCTTTTAACTTCTTTTCCAAAATACTGTCCAAATGTGCTTTCTTATTTCTGTGTCAAAGTGGAAACCTAGTTCAATAAAAGTGAGTGACTGTCACTCCATCATTGGTAGGCAACATCTTACCCTGGAACACTAAGACATTTGAAAATAATTACCCACCCAGAGATCCTAACGGAGCTGACCAGCCACCAGTCAGTGCATGCCTGTTTTATAGTATATTTCATTTTTAAAGGAAACCTGATGATACTTTAAATTTTAAAGTGAAAAAAAAATTGTTAGAGTTAAAAATGTTCTCAGAAAACTTTTTATGATAGAAACAACCCAGGGTCAGGAAGGCCACTAAAGAAAGGGGGAGGATAGAAGAGAATTTGTGGGTTGATAGACAGAAAATTGGTTAGGCCAACCAGAGCTCAACCATTAAAGACTAAGTTGCCCCCAGCGGACAGAACTGAAGAAATTCCCAGCAAATGCTTTTGACCGTGTGACCACGTGTCTGACTTGTCTCTATTTTCCCCACAGCCACGGAACTAGATGTGCAGGAGAAGTTTCTGCTGCAGCCAGCAACAATATCTGTGGAGTCGGCGTAGCATACAACTCCAAGGTGGCAGGTGAGCCAACCATGCCAGAGACAGGCACCATGCCAGGCAGCCTGAAAAATAACAGAAGCTGAGAGCTGAATGCATATCAGGGCTCTCCTTTGCCTTTTTTCCTCTTTCTCTCTGTCCCATAGATGTTTCCTCTAAAATCATCTCAGTTCCCTTCGCACACACCCCCAAAGCCCCTGTGTTTCCTAAAAGCCAAACCAGAAGCAAAGAAGTGGGTACAGGCTGTTTAATTAGGAGGTAACCCCGAGAAGCCAGTGAGAAAAATTTGAGGGAAAGAAAGGCAAAGCAAGGGAGCCAACACACAGAGGATGGGGAGCTGGACCAGTCTCTGGACAAGAGCTCAGTCCTATTTGCTGCCTTGTATAGGGATCATTCGTGAGTGTCCCAAGACTTCCGCGGCCTCCCTGGCCAGTAAACAGCAGGCTGAGTGTGCCTGTCTAGCCCAGTCCTCCTCTGGCCACTAGAGCATCCTCTCCACCTTCCAGAAGACAGAGGGGGATTCTACCTGAGGAAATACCAGTTGGCCAAGAATTGCAAGCAAAACCAGTTTTGGCATCCCCAACCATACAAATCTGAAAGGAAAAATATTTTACTCATTCACAGACAATCCTGAAAGCTGCTGCTTGTGGAGTGCATGTCTATCTGTCTGTCTGTCTGTTTCTGTGTGTGTGTGTGTGTGTGTGTACATGTGTGTACCTATGCCTGTTTCTCTCCCTCCCCCTCTCTCCCTTCCCCTCTCCCTTCTCGTCTCTCTCTCCCCCTCCCTCTTCCTCTCCCCCTCCCTTCCCCTCTCCCCTCTCATCTCTCTCTTCCCCTCCCCCTCCCTTTCCCTCTCCCTCTCCCCCTCCCTTTCCCTCTCCCTCTCCCCCTCCCTCTCCCGCTCTCTCCCTCCCTCCCTCTCTCTTTCTCTGTGTTTCACTAAAAATGAAGCAAACTCTTCCAAAGAATTTTCCTTAAGCCACTTTGCATGCTGTGGAGCGCTGAAGCACCACCTGGCGATCAGCTGAGATAATTGCTGGTCTGTTGCAGTCTGGAGGTGTTTGCTGACAGCTCGGGGAGGTGCTGGTAGGAACATTTGGTGCTTGACCTTTGATTCAAGCTGTCTTGAAGAAAGAAAAGGGCTTTTCATGTTTTAGTGGCACAGACCTATAATCCCAGAACATAGGTGGCTGAATCAGAAGCATCTTGACTGAGAAACCAACTTGTGCTATTTGTGAAAATGTGAACTAGAAAATGAATTCTCTACAGGCAAAAAGAGAGAAACCGTTAAGCACCTCTTCACGTGCTTTCTGCCTGTCCAGCTCTTCAGTTCATAGACTTTGCTCATGTTTCCTGTTGGTGTTCGGGCACTCTTGGTATGTCAGAGGTAATTGCCCGTGAGTTTGTTTCCGTCAGTATAAACTTTGACACAAGGCCACCAGTCCCTCTAGAACCTACTTTGGTAGATGCTAAGTTGACTAGCAGTTCAACTTAGTAAGCCAGTGTCCCGACCCTATCTGTGCAGCAACGCCCATGACAGTCATGTGCATACTCTGTGCTGTGTGTTAAGTTCCCATATACACACGAGTCAGTCTCTAGGTAAATGCGGCTTAAGTAAAACCTTCTAAAACACGAATTAGGAAATGCAGCTGGGGTTGGCTGCTATCACTGAGGACATATCTTCCCCGCTTATGCCACGTGGGCTCAATCAGTCTCTCCTGAAAACACCCTCACAGACACGTCCAAAGTGATGCTTTGACAGTTTCCTAGGTATTCCTTCATCAGTCACGTTGACACGCAGACGTCCATGCCATGCACAGGCATTTGATTGCTGTTTCTCCCTGAGCAACCAGTCTCCACAACGGCAGTGTCTGTCTACTTGACCAGCACTGTAGCATCCATATCAAACTCTGGCGCACAGTCTAAGTGCAAATCTTACTTGCCAAGCAAGAGGGAAGAATGAGAAAGAGGAAAGGGGAGGGAGTCGGTGGATAAATCCATAAAGATATTAATGACCCCTGGACAAAAGAATGGATGGATGGATGGATGGATGGATAGAGTTGAGAGATCAGGGACCTACGGGCCTAAAGCCAGCGGAATATCAACCCAGGGGATAAAAGTGTCTTCCTACCAGAACCGTAAACCTTTATTACTTTGCCCCTTCACGTCAGTTCCCAGCAATCAGGAGCCTTCTCCAGACGCTCCAGGCTCCTCATTGCTCCTCAAACAGACTGTGGACTGTCCGGGGACCAGACATCAGTAGGGGCTGCCCAGAGTGCAGCAGAGAAGCCAGCCTAGGGAGCCCTTTGCACAGCGCCTCTGTCACTCAGGTGCTGAAATAGAGTATGTGACTTTTCCCGGGCTCTCATTTTCAAAATCTCTAAATACCGGGACCCAGAAAGACTCTAAAACTACAAATATCCACAGATACTTGCAAAATGACAATCCTAAAACTAATAATCTCAATCAACATGTTGCCTCTTGGTCAGGCACAATTCAGGACTGCTCATTTAACATTCTCTGTGAGTCTATCACACTCCTGTATCTCTATATGACATACGCTGTATGCCATGACTTTCTTTTGCATGTGAATTTTAAATACAGGAACATGACCTTAGGAAACTGTGAGATTATTTTGTACCTGGTGTCCCTGCTTGGGAAAAGCCCACTCTGCTGACTAGCTGAGTCAGGGTGGAACTGAGAACCTCAATGACTGGAAACCAGCTTCTTCCTCTTCATTTGTTTCACTCAGGGACATGTGTGACCCTTGGAAAGCCATTTGAAGGTGATCTTAAAAGCTGCGCACTCTCTGGTTTCTGGTATGTTTCTAGGGACACGGTTGTTGCTGCCTCTTCTCCTCAAGGAGAGAAGAGTTCCACCAGGCTGGCTCCTTCCTTGACTGTAATTGCCTGACATGGAGACGGGTGTCCCAGGCCTGTTGGTATAGTCTGGAAGTCTTAATCATTTCAAAAGTCTCTGAAATTCTGATTATTCATAATCCTTTAAGCATTTCTCTAATTTTATGAATTTTAGAGGGAAAGGGCAATTTTATTTATTTTGAAAAAGTCCTTTCTTGGGGGTAATTATGTAAGAAGATCACTCAATCCTTTTTTTTTTTTTTAATTTTCACTTTTAGGCCATATTTCACCTTTCAGCAAAAGGGTTGGGCTTGAGGGATGGTTCAGCAGATGCACATGCTGCCAGGCGAGCCCAGTGACCTGAGTTCAGTCTCCAGAACCCAGAGGGGAGGGAGGGAGCCAACTCCTGAAAGTCGTCCTCTGACCCCCACATGCATGCCACGGCCTGAGCACACACACATGCATGCACCATACATGCACACACACATGCATACACGATACACACACACGCACACATCACACACACACACACGCACACACATGTACCAAAAAGGGGAGCTTGAGAAAAAAAAATGAAATTTAAAATCTATCAGTAGTAAGTAAGTACATGAACAAAAATAACAAAACTTCTCAATAGCATTTCTTGCTGGTGTGTCAACCTAGCACTCAAGGCGGTGCCCAGCCTTTGGGGAGATGCTGCCTGCTGCCATCAGTCCATTCACGTAGTCCATGGCTGTTGTGCAGTAGGGACCCACAGTGCCCAGCAGGTGAGACACCGCGCTCATACCAGCCCTAAGACAGGAGGAGCAAGACAATGTGACGAAATGACTTTTACTCTGAGCAGAGTAAAGCAAGATGGCAGACAGGAAGTCAGTGACTTGTGCATATGCTCGACAACTAGTCCCACATCATCTAGGGCTTCCCAGAATGGCCCAAAGTGTAGTGGGCCCAGGTGGATTTGCCCGTCACTACTTTCTTCTTCAAACCCGAGCAGATGAATTTGCACAGGGGCTGAGATCGCCGTTAGCTGATGTTTTCCCCATGAAAGGATAAATACTTGAGGAGCTGGACACGCTTATCAAAACTTCTCGTGGTAGTCATGACAGTGTTTAGTTTTGGCATTAATTTAAAACAAAAGGCAATTTTAAATGAACTTTTTCGAAGACTCTGAAAACCATGCTTTTGATCACATAACACGGAATTTCTCCATCAGTGATTCTCCATCAGATGAATCACTTTCATATGATCGTCATTGTTAGTGGCCAATAATTTATATAACACTTTAGTGAGTTTATATATTTCATATCTGGGTCTTTTAAGCAAATCAGTTAAAATCATTGTAAGCATCATGAATGATGACTGCTCAGACCCTAAAACCTGAGTGAGCGTGAACTTACTCCGCACCCTCCACGGCTAATATTCATGCGCACAGCAGGTACCAGTTGTCAGTGCTGAAGTGGTCATGTGATATATTGCAGCATGCAGGTGTCAGATGAGAGCACACTTCTGGTGACAGGAGCAGAGCAAAAAGGGTTCTGCTGAAGTCCACTGGGCCCTTGCAGGCCGTTCATGGTGCAAGCTAAGCAGAGAGGCAGCCATAGCCTCTAAATGTGTGGCAGGGGCAGAGACAGAGTCTCTTCCTCCACTAATGAGACATACAGACCTGGGTGGGGAGTTGGAAATGCCAGCTGTGTGGTCTGTAGCTTCCCCGCCTATCAAGTCATGTCATGTAGAGCATCTCACATGTGTGAAAACACACAGCTTCCTTGCATTTCTCCCTTCCCATCCCCCACCACCCTTCCATAGCCCACAGGGCATCCGGGAGCACAGGAGAGAGAGAGGCCCTCCCTAACAGCCTTCAGGTCATCCTGAGCCTGTGTCTTGGTCACTACTACTGTATCTCATTCAATTAACGCATGTCTCGGTCCTCCGGAGGTTAACCTGATTAAAGGAAATGCCAGGAGCCTGGCTCCAAGAATACGGATGAGTGCAGCTCTCTGTCTGTGGCCACCCCTGTCTCCCTCAGCACTAAGCAGCAAGACAAATGCACATCAGCTCCTGTGTTCTTGTTCTGCACACAGGGAGCTCATGACAGGGTGAGGAAGAAAGTGCACTAAGGAGCCAGACTTACAAAGAGGAGGAGGGCTCAAGATGCAGCCACCTACCCCACACTGGCTGACACACCCAGGGCTGCCATCAGCCAGCTGGTGGGACAGTCAAGGCCTGCTTTGTCCGGTCTTAAGTTCCCCTCGACTTCTTTTTGAAGCTGACTGCTCAAGCCTGAATAACTAGTACCAGACCAAAAGAAAAAGCATATGAACTTTCTCCTTAAAACAAGGCAATATTGGCTTCTGTTTATTTACCACCCACAAAGAAGACACAATCTCACTTAAGATTTTTCTGTTCAGTTTATTCCATAACCCAATGGTCTCTATAATAAATTGATTCAAGCTTGCTAGGGATTGAACCCAGGATCAGGTGTGTGTGTGTGTGTGTGTGTGTGTGTGTGTGTGTGTGTGTGTGTGTGATGTTTGGAACAAGATCTCAACAAGATCTCAGTAAGTAGACCATTCTGGTCTTGAACCTACAGTCTCCCTACTTTAACCTTCTGAGGTGCTTCTCTTGGAGATGAGCTACTCAGAGCTACTAAGAAAATTTGAAAGAATAATGAGCTTTCTTCTTAAAGCAAGAAAATTGAGGCATGCACCACTGTGCCCTGCTACATTTCCTAAGTAAATAAATTAGATAAAGGCCCACAGCAAAACATCGTTTTAAGCTTTCTCAAAATGCAACTTCTAAAAAGTTCAGACCAGGTCTTAATATAAATGAGCTTCATCCAAAAGAAAAGATATCAATTCATAATTGAATGTTAGTCAGCATAAATAGGTGGCCTGACTTCAGGGTTAAGGCAGAGGCTGAGGGATTAATGGCTATTTATGGCCTTTATTACTTGTTCTCCCAAACCTGTTATTTCTGTTGGAGAGGAAAATCAACTAAAAGAAGTCATACCGTCAGACACAGACATTCATTCTTAAAACTTCGTCAATCTGGAGGTAAATACCCAGTATCATGTTGAACCAAGGGACAGAATTAAACACAGTAACTGTACCCTAGGCACCCAGACGCCTCACTGCCTGATATGACATAAAGCACAGATACCCCTCCATTTGGCTAACTGGGTTCTGGGAGAAACTTTGATCCCAGCAGGGGGAGTGACCATCACATCCCTGAGGAGGGAAGAGAGAACATCCAGCCACTTAGTAAGAATAGGCCTTGAGAAAGACAGCAACGTTTTATCAGTTCCTCAAGAACTTGACTGTCCTTTATTTAAATTAATTTGCATACCTGTATTAGAGAATGATGTTTGAGAAATAATGTTGCTGAATAATGACATCCTTTGACACCACAAGCCTTTCCTATGGCTTTTTCTGGGGACTAAGAACGGATGATGGGATCCAGAGGTGGGCTGGACATGGCCTACACACTTCACTTTATAATCCTTGTCTTGGCTCAATTTCTGTTGCCACAGCAAAATACTTGAGGCTGAGTTATGTGTAAAGAGGCTTATTTGGTTCATAGCTTTGAAGGGAAACAGGTCAGTGTCTAGTGAGGACATGGCAGAATTACATGCAAGAGTGATTATCTGGTGATAGGGAATTTCAGTTTTGAAATTTCCATTTTGAACAATTCACTCTCATGGGAAAGACATGGGTGAGGTCTGAAAAGGAGAGGGGAGGGCAGTCTGAACAGCATTTTTGACCCTCAGCCTCTGAGGGCACTGAAGGTCCACTACTCCTCTGAGAATGCAAGCTTTCCTCTCCCCCATGTCTTCTGAGAGCGGGGTGCCAACACCTTGTTTCTCCGCTCACACCTGTGCGCAGGCATCCGCATGCTGGACCAGCCCTTCATGACAGACATCATTGAGGCCTCCTCCATCAGCCACATGCCTCAGCTCATTGACATCTACAGTGCAAGCTGGGGGCCCACAGACAATGGGAAGACGGTCGACGGGCCCCGAGAGCTCACGCTGCAGGCCATGGCAGATGGCGTGAACAAGGTAAAGGTGCTCCTGTCACTGCAAGGCCCCAGACCACCCCGATGTAGGATATGGGGGTGAAGTGGTGGGGACAGCACAGTGGATGAAGTGGCAGGGTAAGGTAGAAGTGGGTCATGGCCCTCTATGCTAGTGTAGGGCCTGTGGAAGGTAAGCACAGAGTTGGGTTTAGTGGAGCAAGAGGCACGTGGGAGAGAATTCCTGGAGGTTATATTACAGGGCAGGAGTCACTGAGGCAGGACCTGAGCCAGGCTCAGGGATCACACACCCCTAGGTCAAGACCCCATTCCAGTCCCAAGTATCCAAGAACCTATCAGCAAGTGATTTCACATAGCCGAGCCTGCTTTGTTGTCTTTAAAATAGTCAGATGTGGAATTCTAGGGACTGGGAACATTAAGAGATGTAAATTTGGTAAATATGGTCATGGTACTAGAAATACCAAGTCCTCAGGAAACGCCCACAATCCCACACACTACAGACCCTTAGACAAGTAGCCCAAGACTTCATGGCGTGAACACAGCCTCTGTCGATGTGTGGATCCTGTGGATCAGGAACTCAAAGAGGGCGCACTGGGGGTGACCTGACTTTTCTCCAGACTCCTGCAACCTAAAGTGATTTGAGGAGCAACTCCCAAACTGTCTTCTCAGGCTGTTTTCAATTGCTCAGCTTAAAGCATGACCCCAGCAAGCCCCGGGGAGGGAGGCAGTGAGAGATCCACGTCTCTGCCCGGCCTGCCTGCTGTAGCCAAGGCTTCCTTTTAACGAGATTCTATCAGGAGCTGTGGGGCACTGCTGTTGATGACTCAGGGACCCATGACTTGTAACCTTGAGATACTAAGACCCTAAAACAGCACTATAAACACACACACACTAAACAGAAAAGGCACTGGCAGCTACTTACACTCTGGGAACAGCAGGGTCATAGGATGTTCGGTGAGCAAGCTGTCTGACCTGCTTACCCCTGTGTGGCAGGAGCAGACATCCAGGTAGCTCAGCTGAAAGGACATCTTTTGGGGAGGCGGGAATGACCAGGGCAGTCGGATGATCCAGGCAGGTCCTCAGATAGCTGTAGGGAAGCAGGGCCTCCTGTTTCCCAGACGGCTGTGGGATGTGTGGAGACACACCTGGGCTCTGCAGTCCAAGTCCCAGGCCACCCTCAGCCCATCTGTTTCCCCTGGCTTCGATCTCATTCTCTTCAGTCCTTTCTTCTTTCTCCGGCTGCGTGTTCAAGTAGTGCAAGCATCCCCTTCCCATCCTTGCTCATCACAGCCTGGCAGCCTCTGTTTCACTGGTCCCCGCTGCTTCCAGGGAAATCTTTGCCCCAACTTAGGAGACACGACTTCCCCAAGCCTAGACTTTAGAAATAAAGTCTCAGAATCTGAAGATACAGAGACAGTGGCATTTCTAACACCTTCTTTTCTCTTTCTTGAGATAACAGCTCATGATGGTGGGTATTCAGTACTTCCCTCCCCTTCTTATGGAGAAGGCCTTCATGTACTGTTGAATTCTGTCAAAGATCTGGGCAGAAATATAAGACCATGTGTCCCTCTTACAGGGCTGAGTAGTGCACCCGGTTCCCCCTCTTGAAGTCTTAACCCTGCGTGGCTCAGAATAGCACCTAATTTGAAATTTAAGTCAGCGAAGATATAATTAGTTAAGATGAAGACATGGTCACGTGGGCCAATGTCCCCTAAGAGAGTATGATAAAGATGGAATTCCTCAATTATTAATGAAAATGGAAACATTTGCCCACAGGTATACTCAAAGGGAGAATGTTGCATAAAAATGAAGACAGAGATCCCAGAATCCATACGCAAGAAAACAAATGTCAAGATCCCAGGGAATCAGCAGACACTGGGGAGGAGGGTGTAGAGGGGCCTCCTCCAAGGTGTGGAGAGGAAACAGTTCCACTGGCACTTCAGTCTTGAATTTCTAGATGCCATGGCAGCTGGGTAAGGCAGACCTGTTGTTCAGGGCGCCCAGTTTGCGGCTCTTCACTATGGTACTCCTGGAAAATTAGTGCATCCTTCTGATCTTAGAACAGGCAATCGGAGAGGGGATTTGACCAGACTCTATAACAGTGTGCAAAGACTTGGTCACTTTCCAGGTGACCTTGATGTCCCTTGCTCTCTCTTTTATAGCCAAGATGGCTGGTCACTGGTCCAATGCAGTTTTTTTTTCTTCTCTTTTGCAAACTCAAAAGACCATCTTCCTTTATTCTTCATCATAGTTAAAGAGCATACATTCAGTACCCACAGGAAACCACAACCAGTCAAAATACAGAGTTGCTGAAGCCTCGTCCCAAGGGATACATCCACAAAGCACTCCCACATCTAAGGTTCAGGGAACATTGTGGAAGAGGGGTGGAGCTATTGTAGGAGCTGGAGGATCAGGGAGTTGGGTATGAGATGGTGTTTCCTGGTAACATCAGAAGCTACACCCATAGATTCTCACCAACATGAACAAGAATGATGCCAATAGGTTTGCCAGAATGGATGGGGATTATCGCAATTTAATCTTAATGACAGAAATGTTGCTGTGTGACCAGCATGTTGATGGAGTTGCTGCTGGTGACATCACACTGAGAGCTTGAAATCAGGCATGGATATTGGCAAACAGAGCTTTTATGTCCCCCTTCAGAGAGCTTCTTGTTTACCAACACAGCCCTGTTTTCCTTCGGTCATGGAGGCTGCATACGCCACATTCTCCCTGTCAGTGGAAGATAGCCTTGCCCTAGTAAGGCCCAAGTTCCCTCTGGAAGAGGAAAAACTGGAATAAAAGCACCCAAAACCCTGACTCATGTGTTTCGGCAAAATGACAAGTTTTTCAACCCAAGAGACCACTTATCCTGTGACGGTGGAGGACAGCTTTGCTGAGTGAGTCGTGACCTCGCTCTAGAGAAGAGTTATCTCCCTTTCGTTCAAGACAAGGTTCAAGAAACACGTGTCCTGGAAAATGGCTTCGCGTCGTCCACTAAACAGCAGTTCCTACACTTGGGTAGAGCCTGTTGGGTAGCTAACAAAATGATGCCCCTTACAAGGTTGTAGCAATCTGCTGTTGAAACTGAGCCAGTCTGATTGGAGAACACTGACATTTGATGGCACAAGGCAAACCTACCAATAAGCCCTGGTGGCAGGAGGCGGTGCCACCACCCTGCTACACACAGCCAGGCTGGAGCTCTCGACACACCAGCAGCTTGATTTCTTAGCACATGATTCACCTCATGGTTGACGAAAGCATCCGTCCAACCCAGAGCCAGGAGCCTGAGGGAGCAGGCATCCATTTCTCCAGTGGACATGGTATGCTCTGGCACCTGAAGCTGGAAGCCTCAGGCAAGTATATGACAAGTGTCTCTGTCCACATTTGCAATGCATATGCGTTTGAAACAGGACACCCTGGGTGGCTCCTGTCACTTACCATGCTTCTGAATGTCACATCTCAGAGCTGGATCTTCCTCTCTGCTCCATTTATAACCTCCCTGACTCCAACTGAAAGACCTTTCCAAGCATGATGGTTCTGCAAAACATGCCAAGATTGATGGAAAGTAAGAAAAAATAAATTTTCATGACTTACCTTCAGACAACAGCATGCAAATGTTTTGAAGAGGAACGCATACATTGTGGTGGGAAATATGTCTTCCCGTTCAGCTTCCCCACAGGCTTTGTTCAAGATGAGACTTTTTAGACAGTTTTGGATAATTTTGTAAGTGACCGTGTAGTATACAGACTCAAAGGGGTTCCTCCTCATTAGTTCAGTTATCTGATTTACTCTAAAGAAAAACCCACGTAGGAAATATGGTATCCATCCACTCACAGAACTCCGGCTGTTCCATATCACGCAGAGGCAATTCTTACACCTGTCTTTGAATATTAACACCCTAGATATGTGTTTTGTTTGACTAATATAATAACAATAAAAATGAGAAAAATGAAGAGTTAGAGACCCTTAATAATACCCACACTGTTTGTCACAGACTTTACCATTCCTGAGTGCTTAGCACCTGCTTCACCCAGCAACCTCAGTTTTCTGGATCTTTAGAAATGTCTGTTTGCCTCTTCTAAGTTTTTTCAGTAGATGCTTGAGAGGCATCTAAGAATAGGCGAGACGGAAGGAAAAGGACTAACTGATGAGGTGTCTCAGTGATCAAGTGCTCTCCTAGCATGCACAAGGCTTGGGGTTTGATCCCCAGTACAAAGGAAAAGAACAAGTTGTTTCCCCTTGGCTTATTGCGGTCTTGCCTCTTTAACTTGATAGTGTCCATATTGGGTTATAGCTAAAGCATTTTCACAGTGTTGCTAGAAAGTTGGTAACAGAGATCCTGAATGATGAGATGGCCAGTAATTAATCTCTACCTGTGCTGGCTAGTTTTGTGTCTCCTTGACATAAGCTAGAGACATCTGGGAAGAGGGAACCACAATCAAGAAACTGCCCCCACTATAGCGCCCTGTGGGAGGCCTGTGGTGCATTTTCTTGAGGAAAGGGCCTCAAGAGAGGGCCCAGCTCTTTGCAGGTGCTATACAAAAGCAGGCTGAGCAAGCTATGAGGAGCAAGCCAGTAACCAGCTCTCCTCCATGGGCTTCAGGTCCCTGCCTCGAGTTCCTGCCCTGACCTCTCTGGAAGATGGACTACAAATTGTAAACTGAAAAAACTCTTTCCTCCATTGGTTGCTTTTGGTCTCGGTGCTTTATCCCAGCAACAGAAACCTAACAGGGACTCAGCCTTAGTTTGGGATCTTTCAAAACCAAACCCTAAGACAAGGCTTGGGTTTGAGATCTGAGCTGAACGCAAGGCAAAGGGAATGCCAGGAGTGAGTAGGGAGGCGAGACAGGAACCACAGAGGGTCAGTTCAGGCCATGGGCTCAAGCTAGCCACCCTCACGAGCAATTAAAATCATAGGGTACCAGAAATGAACACAGAACAAACAGTAAAGTTATCCTATCGGTGACAAGGGAGCTAAGATAGAAACCATTGGATGAAATTGACCCCCAAGAGGTGGCAGTGCCCTAGCAATCAAAGCCAGAGAGCAGGCACCTGGAGAAGCCTGCAGACTCATGGGAAGAAGTGCTCAGACAAAAAGGTGCCCATGCTGGCATTTGAAAGTTTCGAGCACAAGAGTTCTGAGGTCCAAGGTCTCTGGGATGACCTGTCTGCCATGCATTCCAGTCACGGGAGCTCAGCGGAAGAGAAGTCTAAGCATCATCACTCTTCAGACAGCCCACAGCGAGGAAGGAAGAATGTAGTTTCTGCAAGGAGAATGGTGGCACAGCGGACAAGCAGAGGGCACAGCACCTCATCTTCCAGAGTCATTTCTTCTCTGACAATCACAAGAATTCAGGCAAACTGACAGTCACAGAGGCTCCTTCCACTGCGTAAACAGAACACAGCCACTCAGGACAGCCTGGATCCCTTTGCTGGCTCTAGTGACTATATCTCAGCCCCTTATTAATCATGTCTAAGCGCTGCTACTGGAGAGCATAGGTAATTAGCTTAGGAGTAGTTAAAGACAAGCTGCAGGAAGCCTCTTCGTGGTGCTGATGAGACTGAGTGGGGAGAGTGGGCATAGCTCAAGGGCCAGGTGTCTGCACTAGAATACATGAAGATGAGCCACTTGCAAGACAGTGGTTCAGACACCACCCCCCAGGAGGGAGGGGTAGAGAGCTGGCTGAGAAGAAAGTGATTAATTGGGGTGGCCAGGCAAAGACCTGGTGCTGCTTGATCAGAATGAGGGTCAGATGCAGGAGCAGCAGCACCAGGGCCTTGGCAGGATGGATGCCTCCTGCCACAGAGCACTCGGAGACACCAGTCCTGATTTATCTTCTAAATCTCAGTGAAGGCTCTCGTTTGGACAAGGGCTGCTTGGCGTAATGCCTGCAGCTCAGCCTCTGAAATGGTTCACATACCATTACAATCCTTCTCTTCATTTTGGGGACAAAAAGAAATGGAAGAAGGCAGAGGCTGTAGGATCAAGGAGTTCATAGCCATTTTCAACTTTTAAGGAGTTCAGGGTCAGCCTGGGCTACATGAGCTTCTGTCAGAAAGCTCATGTACGTGCTTAGCATGTACAAACCCCTGAATTCAATCCCCAGCACCATAAAAAAAAATATTTTTATACTGGCCATTATTTTTTTCAGTGTTCATTTTATGTGTATTGGTGTTTTGCCTGCATGTATATCTTTGTGAGGATGTCAGCTCCCACAAGGTGTGAGCTGCCTTGTGGGTGCTAGAATTGAACCCAGGTCCTCTTGAAGAGCAGCCAGTGCTCTTAACCGCTGAGCCATCTCTCCATGACGGCCATTATTATTTGTAGATGTGAACACTACAGTCATTATACAGAGCAAAAATATGGCTATGTGGATGAAGACTCTTCAAACATGCATTTCTTCTCATCAAAAATCCCTTCTCTTAGTAACTCCGCCTAACTAAACAGAACTAAAAAGACACACACATATATGTATGTTCTTTTTAAACATTAGCCAGGTTTTTAAATACTAGAAATAATCCTCCACGGATGTCTAAAAAAAGAAAGACTAAATCATGAAATGTCTATTTAATAAGACTAATAAAACATGATATAGAATAGTATTAACATTCACACGAGTAAATGTTAATTATATAATAGTAAAATTGTGTTTTTAAGCAGGCCAAATAAAATGAATCTATTTCATTATCCCAAGTTCTTTTCTAAAGCTATTCTTTGCCTCTCTGTATAAAACTGTCAGGAACCCTCAAAATCACACTAGGAATCATTTATTCTCAGGTTATAAAGAATTTCTATTTTCCTCTCCATAGTCTGCCTATTTCAATATTGCATGTGATTTTTACAGTAAAAAGTTAAATGACTTTTTAAAGTATGTTAATGTACTAAGATGTCAAGATGGAAACCAGATGTGGGGGTGCACACCTGTCATCCCAGCATTTGGAAGGCGGGGGCCAGAGGATTTCTGTGAGTTCAAGGCCAGGGTGGACCACAAAGACCTCCATGTCCATTCAGTGGCAGCCCCCGGCAGCCCCGTGCCCTCCCACAGCCACAGTCACACATCTGTGATGGACGGGAAGGTGCACTGGAGCTTGACTGGTCTAAAGAAAGCTCTGCCCGTGTCTGGGAGCCGTTGACTCTCTGCTGGGGCAGTGCATTTGACTGCGCTATGTGGCTGTCAGCAGCGAAAGGCAGGTGGCTTGCCATGGTATAACCAAGATCTGAGTCAGAGATGTACAAGTTTCTCAAGTCTTGGGCTTATTCGGAATATTTGCCCATTTGATGTCTCTCACATTTTGATGTCAGATTAAGGCACGAAGCCAGTCGGGACCCAACGGTAGTTTTGCCCTTTTCTCCTCTTGGGCAAAACTGCAAAATCATATTACAAAGGGTGCTGGTACCTGGAACTACACAAGTAAAATCCACCCTAACATTCCTACACCAAGCGATTTCCTTATACCAAGATTGCTTTGCTCCCTGGCAGCCTGCTCAGGAATTCGTGAGGGATGGTTCCCCGGGTGTTTTGCCCTGATCTGAACTTGAGTATGTGTCCCTCCATGCCAACTGCAGAACCCATCTGTTTCTCCTCTGCCATGGTTTCTGAGAGCCATTGTTTGTTGTGACAGAGTCTCTCAGTTATATAAATATAACAAGAATCTGAAGACAATTCCCAGTTTGTGGGTGATCAAACAATTATTTGTGAACTTAATGACTCACTTGGCCACAGACTGATTAGTTCCCAGTCCTGTAGGAAGAAATTCAGAATGCCTGCCATGGTCTCCTTGTTAAGAGGCAGACACACCTTGGAAGTGCTCCACCTTCTTGTTCTCTAATGACATCTCACCTTAAACCACTGAACCAGGACCACAGATCCCCGACCCCCAAAGCCACACAAAGGCAGGCTTTCTCTGTCTCTCTGCATTCCCCACCCTCACCCTAGCTTCCCTCTCCTTCTCTTCATCCCTCCTTCCCTCCCTCTCTCTCTTCCACCTCTCCCAAACGGTGCAGGAGGAGGAGCTTGTACACCTGCCCCTCACTGCCCACCCTGCATGGCTGCCCTCCTCCCCCCTGCCTAGAGGAGAACAGAGGAGAAAGAAAGAAGCAAATGGCTCGATCCTGGTTGAGGCAGAAAAGAAATCACTCAGAGAGGGCAAGGACAGATAAAACAGGAAGGTGAAAACACTAAGAGCATGGATTAAACAGGAGCATTCCTGAGTCATCTTTAACACAGCTTGTCTTCTGTAACTAACCGCTACATGGGAGTACCTACCGTGCTATCCTCGAGAGTTCAGATGCCATTGGCTGTTTCTTACTTACTCACTCTAGGCTTTATTCCGAAAGCTGCTCCCTTGCACAGACCAAATGGCATGTAGGTTTCCAGTAGGATTCTGTTAAGATCCAACTGGATTTTTTTTTTAAGCGATGTAAACAAGCGTAAGATTTTTGTTATTTTGTTAAACATGTTCTTTATATTTATATCTATATATACATCTTATGTAGTTTAGTATAAGCACAGACATGTATACTTAAATTTTCAGTGAAAGCTTATAGGTAAAAATAAGGTTACAATGATTGCCTCTGGAGGGTTCATTTTTCTTTTCCATATGCTTTGATACTTTTTACAATAAGCACGTATTACCTTTACAGCTTTTTTTAAAAATCAGTTCTCAGGTAAATTTTAAGACTTTTTAAAATCATTTAATTGTAAATTTTAAGGTGATCCTTTCCTCTTTTGCTAACCTGTTATTCTCAGCTACAATTAGAAATTCTGGTGACTTTATTTTATATCATTCTTGGGCAAAAATATATATATATTCTTACTATCTCCCTCAGAAAAATAATTTCCGGCCAGGTAAAATGAAGTCAGTTATTCGGCTGCATAGCTGCATTAGCTCAAATCCTGACCCTGCCTAGGCCAGGACCTTACCTAGGCAGGAAACCTCCCCCAGCCACAGGCCAGAACCCTTCAGCGCCTGCTCCTCAGTGCTGGACTGAGCCGCAAATCCTTCTTGCCTCCCAGGGCCGCGGGGGCAAAGGCAGCATCTATGTGTGGGCGTCCGGGGACGGTGGCAGCTATGATGACTGCAACTGTGACGGCTACGCCTCAAGCATGTGGACCATCTCCATCAACTCAGCCATCAACGACGGCAGGACCGCCCTGTACGACGAGAGCTGCTCTTCCACCTTAGCCTCCACCTTCAGCAACGGGAGGAAGAGGAACCCTGAGGCGGGTGTGGTAAGCACAAGCTTCCTCCTGATCAGTTTCTGCATGGCCAGGGCCAGGCTGGTCTCCCAGCTCCACTCCCTTCTCTTCACAAGGCCGCACAGCTTCTGCGGAGAACATGCGCTTTCCCGGTGTCTAACCGCGCTTTACCAAAGTGGAGACCTAGCCTCTGCTGGCGGGAGGCATATCATGCGATGAGCCCTCTCCAGTTCATTTCCGTAGAGTTCCTTGTGTATTGTCTTGTTTGGGCATACAAGCGATGATGAGCTTTAGTTTATCAATAAGTTTCCCTGGCATGTCACTTACAAGAACAAAAATTATAAGAACTGAGGGATCATGTCACACTACAAACCCCGAGAAAGCACGCCTGTGTCACAACAGTAAGAAATGCCACCAAGCTGGGAATGAGGCTGCAAAGGGTACAATTCTTGCCTTAGCATATACCCAAACCTGGGATGGACCCTCAATACAGCAAAACAATAATAAGTCCAGCCGCGGTGGACCCATATGGCTCCTCATCCCTCCTAAAGAGAGGGAAAATACACAGTTGTGTATTTTCTTGGGGGAAGGAGTGTGATTTCAACATATTATAAAACAGATCCATGATTTTTAAAACACAAATGAAGATTCACAGGGTATAATCATTCAGTTTCTCTTTGTCTCTCTGTCTTTCTCTGTGTCTCTCTCTGTATATCCCTGTCTGTCTCTCTCTGTGTCTGTCTGTCTCTCTCCCCTGAGAAAACTTTTTTTTACCCCTTCTCATTTTCTCTGTCTCTCTCTGTGTCTCTCTGAAACTGTCTCTCTTTGTCTCTCTGTCTCTGTCTCTCTTTGTCCCTCCAGACCCCCTTCTCTCTCTCTCTCCTTTTCTCATTTTCTCTCTCACTCTCTCGCTCTCTCTCCCCTCTCCCCTTAGAGCAACCAGGTGTAACCGTAAACTTTTCCTCTCCTGAAGAGCATAACGATCTTTTCCTGTCTGCTTGCTTTGCTCACATGCCAGTTTTTCATCTGTCCTCCAGGCCAGATATTTGGCATATGATTCCAAGTCATAGATACACTACACCTGTCTCAAAAAAATTAAAATTTAAATTTAAAATTAAAAAGAGAAACCCTCTTGAGAACCCTCTAGAACAGTGGTTGTAAGGCTGCACCCTTTAATACAGTTCCTCATGTTGTGATGACCCCCAACCATAAAATTATTTTTGTTGCTACTTCGTAAGTGTAGTTCGCTACTTGAATCGTAACGTAAATATCTGATATGCAGGGTATCTGATATGTGACCCCAAAGGGGCCACAACCCGAAGGTTGAGAGCAGCTGCTGTAGACGGAGAAGAGTGTCTTCATTCTATATGTAATCTCAATGTAAACCCCCGCTCTCGCAAACATTGAAAATGATCTTATTCTCACTAAAAAGTGTTTTAACAGGTATCCATGCTTTCCTGAATAAAGCTGGGGAGGTATCCAACACACACCGACGATTCTTGGCTTGTATCAGAATCTCTTTAACAGGTCTGGATTCAGAGGAACGTTTGTTTGGAATAAGCGGCCCTTCCTAGGCAGACGTCAGACATTTGCTCTTCCCACTTTGGGAATATCATTCTTCCTTCTGGAAGAAAACAGAAATGCTGCCACAGTCGTGATGTCTCATGATACTGAGCCCAGAAGCCAAGCTCAGTGCAGCCCAACCCACCACTGACTATCAGAATAGTTTAAATAAGATAAAAATGTGCTGCCCTGGCCCTCGTGGTCTAGGGTTCAAACACTGTTCGCTCATCAATCAATTAATCTTTCCCTGCCAGGCCACCACAGACTTATACGGCAACTGTACCCTGAGGCATTCTGGAACATCTGCAGCTGCTCCTGAGGCAGCCGGCGTGTTTGCACTGGCTTTAGAGGCTAAGTAAGTTTCACCTTGGAGGTAGAGGTCAGCTCGGAAGGGTGGGCTGGTGTGTGCTTCTCCACCCGAATGCTGGGTGTCCACTGACAGGCGTGGATGTGAGAGCCTAGAAAGTCAGGGCTAGTGAATTCAGCTAGACATTTTTAATGGTTCATGGTCCTTCACTGACACACAGTCGTATGCATACGTCACAAAACTATACACCTGAAATGGCAGAAGGCTGCAACTCCTACAACACAAACCAACGACTTATTTACACACCAAAATACAGCACAAAAAAAAAAAAAAAAAAAAAAAAAAAACCTTTCTTTGTGAAATCTCCCTTTACCTTCTGTGGATTGCACAGCTATTTCACCCCACTGATGCTCTCAGCCAGCTAAATGAAAGAACAACAATCAAGGCTGTTCTTCTATGAGGCGGGTCCTCTTCTCCACATTAAGCCAAAGCAGGTGAAGCTGTACAGAATAGTCAAGAAACAGGCTTTCCTAGGGAGCCGTTGAGGTGGCAGATAAGAGACCAGGTCCTATATTCTAACATGCCATGAAAAGACCATGACTGCGTCCTCCTGGGCGTAGCTCGCATTTCAGCATCTGAGCTACCTGCCAGAGTGCTGCTTACATTCCCTGAGAAATCAGAGTCTGGACTTAGATTCTGCCCTCTGGAAACTATGCTGCTGTACTCACAGGCTATATGGGGAGTTCAGAAAATGGATCGCCCAGCAGCTTGTGGGCAGTGTGATTCAGGCTTCCCAGGGAAGGGAGTTAAGGTCCCATTCTTGCCAGAAATTGCTAGGTAATGCAGTTTCTGTCGACAGTATCCAGGCAGACTTACTTGCCCCTCTCCACATATTCAACAACACATACTCTGATCTGCAAAAGAAGCAAGTGTTGAGGAGGCACAGTATTTGTTGCAGGCTGGAACTCCCAGCTGTCCAGAGACTGAGTGCCAATGTCATGACAACTCTCACTGTTTCACCCGTCCCCTAAATTCTAGACTCTGTGACACTGAGGAACTCCCTATGGCAAGGTGAGGATTAGTCCAGAGCCTGGAAGCCCAAAATAGACACACGTGGGCTATATCATGTGCTGTACCTTTTCACATACATGTGACCTAGAATCCCAGTTGTTACCCAGAACAGTGAAAAATGTATCACGTTGGTCATTCCAACACACAGCCTTTAAAATTGTGGCTATTCAGAAGGTTCATTCTGCCATTATTTAAGAGCTGTTGCCTGTGAGTCTGGAGCTGATACAGTAGGGTTAAATCTTAGGGCAAGTTAGTGAAATACCTGTTTTGTAGAACAGTATATTTTACCAATCCTGAAACTTTTCAGAGGCGCAAATACAAAGAACCCAATTTCCATTGCAGATGTACACAAAGAGCTAGCCCAGACAGTGCCACACACAGAATCAAATGAATCTAGACTGTTCTCATGTAGCGCAGAAGTGAGGAGTTCTCTGTTCTGCTTCGGACAGGAAAACTTCAGAGGAGCATGTGAGGTCAACCTCCCCAGACACTGGGGCAAACCACCTTCATACAGTGGACATGAAAGGCCCTCTGTCACATGAAGGCCAGCCCTTAGTCCCTCAGATTCTCATGTGCCAATACTTCTGGGATCTGTAAACTCAGATTCCCATTCTAGAAAAACCTAGAGCAGTTGGTCACACTCAGCTCCTGGGTGGGTGAGTGTGCTCACAATCTGCTCAAAAGCGTTGGCCTGCCTTTGAACAGTCTCCCTTGAAGCCGCCAGTCAGTGCTTAAGGAGCATGCGGCCTAGTGGAGTACTTTGCCTGGGCTCGGAGTTTCACACCAACACACTGTAAATGCGTTGAGATTTTGCCAGAGAAATGATATCATTCCTGTCCTTTCGCTTGCTTGGCTCCTAAAAAGAATTCTTGTCCTTCTGATTGGTTGGCTTCTGTGGAGAATAGTAGTTCACAAGGTCACCTTTTTCTCCTTGTGGCCCTCAATAAAAAAAGTTAATTCTGCTTTATAGCCCAACACACCAGCCCCAAATGTTTCATGGAAATACTAATATCATTTTAACATCTGTGCACTGTCTCTCTTTTCTATTCTAATCCAGTTCATCAATTTTATTAAATATTGAGACATTCTCACGATGAATCCCAAGTGGGTCTCAAACTTCACCACCTTCCCACTGCTGCTCAAGGGTTAGGATTGCTGGATCTCAGTCTTGTCTATTAGAATACAGTGGGAAGCTAACAATCTCCAGCAGCTACTTCTCACTCCCAGAGGTGGCAATTTAATTTGTCTGTGATGGGGATGGAGTGGAGGAATTTCAAATACCCCCAGAGAGCTTTTTAACCTGCCCAAGTAGATGACCTGTGCAGTAGATTGATTTCCTGGTTCACAACTAAGTCATGGCTTGCACTGTTAAAAATTCACACTGAGCAATAACAGACACTGGTTTCCAAAGATCATAGTAAGCATTGTCAAGGACCTGTCCTGCTTTGGGCGTACAAACATGTTAAAAGTATTGTCCTTGCCTTAAAGTGGCAGCCTCATTTCAGACATGGAGTGTATCAGGTAGTGAGCACCCAGGTTAAGAGATCACACGCTGCCAGTACCAGGAAGCATACCCCCATTCCCCTTCAGTCAGGACTCCCAAGACCAGCCCTATTCAGTCCCCAACAGCATAAATTAGTTGTTTCTATTTTTGTGCTTTAAACAAATGGAGTCATATAGATGCTCCTCTATTAGTTCATTTTCCATTGCTACAATAAAATACCTGATGCTGGGTACTTAATAAAGAAAAGAAGTTTCTGTAGCTCACAGAAGTGGAACTGAAAACCCAAGACCAAGTTCCCTGTCCATTTAGTCTCTGGTGGAGGCCACTCTGACAGACATTGGTCATGGCAGGAGCATGTGGTTGAGGAAGGGATCACAGGACTACACTGGAAGCCAGAGATGGAAAAGGGTTGTGCTTGGGCTTTGGTGATCACCGCTCTCTACAACTAGCCAGAGCCCAACAAGAATTCATTCCAGAGGGCGATGCCCCCAGCGACCCACTCCCACAAACTCATAAAGCTTCCACCGTCTTCCAGCAGTGACCCAAAGAAGACCAAGCTTCCAGCCACAATCCCTTCGGGTCACACCCTGCCTCTGACCACAGTGTTTTCTCCTCTGCCTGGCTTCTGTAGTTTGGTATTCTGTTGGTAGAATTCATCCATACCATGCTGGGGAGTTAGCTCGGTTGGTAGAGCACTTGCCAAGCATACACAAGTCCCTGAGTTCAATTCCCAGTACCACATAAACCAGATGTGGAGGTAGAACTCTACCTCCAGTTCTCAGGAGGTAGAGGCAGGAGAATCCCAGTTCTCAGGAGGTAGAGGCAGGAGATCAAGAGTTCAAGGTCATCATCAGCTGCATAGAGAGCTTGAAGTCAGTCTGAGTTCTTGAGAACCTGTCCCAAAAATAATATATATACATATTATTAGAAATAATCACAATTAATTCATTTTCATTTTAATACCCCACATTTCATAAGTTGTACCTCAAAAAAAGCATTCTGCCAGGATGAGCCCCAAATAGTCTGTTGTATGTATCCGCTGAATATGTGCACTTTTTGCCAGATACATGTCTAAGAATGGCATTACCAGGCTATGTCACGTACATGGACAACCTTAGTAAATACAGCCTAATTGTTTTCCAGTGATCCACAAAGCCTGAGTTCTAATTGTTCCACATCTTTGTCAACACTTGATATTACCAATCTTTTTTCATCTTAGCCACACCATGCATACAATATGCTCTTTAGAAATATACTTTAAAAGTAAGAATGACAATGTTTTTAATTGACATATAAATGGTTCTAGATAGTGCGTGCACACCTCCCTTGAGTTAAAAGTTCACAGAGGTTCCAAGCCTCCTAAGTGGACACGTCCTGGGCGTTTCTCACCTTGCTCATCTCGTCTCTTCTTCTCTCGCTCTCGTCCTTGTTCTGCACTCTCTCCTCCCGTGACCAGCGTGGATCTGACCTGGCGAGACGTGCAGCACCTGACTGTGCTCACCTCCAAGAGGAACCAGCTTCACGATGAGGTCCACCAGTGGCGAAGGAACGGGGTTGGCCTGGAGTTCAATCACCTCTTTGGCTACGGAGTCCTTGATGCAGGTGCCATGGTGAAAATGGCTAAAGACTGGAAAACTGTCCCTGAGAGATTCCACTGTGTAGGAGGCTCCGTGCAGAATCCTGAGTAAGTAGGAGCGGTACTTCTACCACACGTGGAAGGGACCCAACTGGCAAAACACCAGGGTCCCTCTCCATGACAGGAGCTACTCTGAGGCATTTCATCTGGGACAGTCAACTTCTGGGCAAAGCTACAGAGATGCACAACTGCAGAGGGATCGTGACCCAGAACACAGTTGTGCAACTCAGAAGCTGTGCTATAACTGCTCCCACGCAGTTCCCATAGTTTTCAGCACTGTTTTTAGGTGCACAGGTCAGTCAACCACTATAGTGAGCATGCAGATCAGTAATAAAATCTGTAATCTCTTCCATCATCATCTCCCCAAGAGCAATCACTATTCTAACTCCATAGAGTATTTTGCTTGTTCTACATTTAATTTGCATGGAACCTATATTGTGTTCTCTTTTATATCTATATTCTTCATTTTTTTTCTTTTGGTTGTTCAAGACAAGGTTCTCTCTGTGTAGTCACGGCTGTCCTGGACTCACTTTTAGACCAGGCTGGCCTCAAACTCACAGAGATCCGTCTGCCTCTGCCCACCCCACCCCCCAAAGTGCTAAGATTTACAGGTGTGTGGCACTGTGCCCAGCTTATGTCTATATTCTTATGTGGAAAATTGTATTTGTAAAATCTGCGCACATTCTGTGTATGCTTGTAGTTTATTTTGACTGTTGAAGAGTGATCTAGTGTGGGACTACCACTATTGTTCATTCTACCTGTAGGACAAAGGAAGGGCTGGGTTTTATTCTGCAAGGGGTGGGCTGTGACTTAGAGGGGTCTGAGTGAGTTTCTACACAAAAGCCGTTGATTGGATCAAGTATAGCCGCTCTCCATCCCACTTCTGTGTGACAAGAGAATTGATCAGTAAAAAGACTTCATTTGTTTAATTTTTCTATCCTTATCGGCCCACCAGTAAGGTGAAACTAGTAATTTCTGTATTGCATACATAGCATGAAAATTACAGAATGTAAGTGTTGGTTTGCAGGGAGCAGAGTTGAGATAAGATATCACCATGTAGTACAGGCTGACTTGAGCTCATAATCCTCCTGCCTCAGCCTCCAGAGTGCTGGGATTGCAGGTGTGTTCCATCACATCAAATTTGAGTTTTGATAAATATATGCACCTGAGGAGCTATCGCCCATAAGACGGTACATCCCATCCACCTGGAAATGGTCCTGTGTTCCTTTCCACTGAGGACACCCACAGCCAGTGTTCTTATTCCTCGCTGCAGATTTGCACTACCCTTCTTGCATTTAGCTAAAATCAGACGACTTCTGATTTATTTTGCTCAGCATTGAAGCTGTGAGATGCACCACAGTGTTGCCAGTGGTTGTCTCGCATTCACTCTCGCTGCTGAGTTTTCCATCCTGAGAATTCTCCCCTGTGGGTTAGTTAAGTCATTTCAGTCCACCCTGCTGTCCCTTCCGAGCACCTCCTGCTCCTGCCTTTTCTAATGATCATCTAAGCTTAATGAGACTTAAGCATACTAAGATGTTATCCTCTCCTTCCCAATGGTCTTGGAAACTCTGCAGTGGTAGCCTTTACCCAGACCTGAATTCAAATCTGGACTTTGCCACTTTATACCTCTCCACCAAGCTTCTGACCTTTTTGACCCTCTATTTTGCCAATTTCCCATCTTTGTGATCTGACCCCTTTGGCGTTATGTAATCTACAAGCCCCATCCCAATATAATAGTTGGGTGTTTGTTTGTTTGTTTGTTTGTTTTTTGGTTTTGTTTTTGTTTTTAGCTTATTAGAGGCTGTGTAAAGGGTTACAGGGAAAGTCAATTTTATTGAAAACAGAAGTCCATTTGTGATAAGGCAATGAATATTCTTTTATATAAACAAATTAAACAAAAAGTTCTAATGTCCACCTAATTTATTGTGTGCATCTAATATACACAATAAACTCAGAGCAATGCTGGGGAGAGAAAATGCCGCTTACAAAGCCAGGCAGGCGTAGTGCCGCACGGCTGAGAGCTCCACACTGGACAGACTGAGGCAGGAGGATTACAAAGGTTACACAGGAAGATCCTGTCTTTCAAAAAGGTTACGGCAAGGTGAATGCAACGTAAGATGGGAAAAGGTCTGAGAGATTGCTAAGACCACTCTGCATCAGGCCTCACCCTCATGAGCCAAACAGAAGCAACCTTTGCCCTATACTTCAGTGAAAGTTAAAATGCCAGGTTTTTCTTCTCATGTGAATGAATGAATGAATACACTCCTTAAATTTTTTGAGCTCCAGAAGGGCATCCGCCTTTATTCCTTCCTAGTGCAATGGAACTGCTATCTTTTCCACGCCAAGCTTCTGAGATGGGTCAGCACCACACTGTAGAGCTGGCATGTGGTGGGCACTTAACGTCACTTTTCCTCTTCCCTTCACCCGCGATTTCGAACACTTCTAGATCACACTTTAGAACAAAGTGAAATAATAATCTCTTAAAACTCAGGAAGAAATAATTGTCTGGCTCCTGTGTGAATTCCAATCTGTGCTTTATGTTTAAAGCATCCTCCAATAGAAGGGTTTGGATGTTCATTTTCCAATGAACTAGCATATTCTCGTGGGGGAAAATCCACCTGTGAGTATAGGCGCTCCTTCCATAGGTGAGAATCCTTCCGCTGATGAACATTCTCCCTAAATGAGCATGCCCCTATAGATGAACATTCTCCCTAGTCACTGGTGAGCATCCTCTCTGGGTAGGTGTCTTCCTGACTGAGCATCCTTCCATGAGCAAGCATCCTCCCACAGGTGAACATCCTCCCATGGGTGAGCATCCTCCCACTAATGAGATGCCCCCATGGATGAGCAGTCTCCTAGATGAGCAGTCACTGGTGAGCGTCCTCCTTGGATGAGCACCTCCCTGACTGAGCATCCTCCTGTGGGTAAACGTCCTCCTTGGGTGAGCCTCTTCACTGTCTACTCACTGAGTTCCAAGAAAGTGGCACAAAACACATCTTTGCAGAGCCCCCACACCTCCCCAAAAACCATTCTATGATCTCATGAAGCATTGCTTCAGTCGGCACTGAATAGGAAGGCAAAGATTCAGGCCCATGAAAACCTATAAGCATAAGCCCCAAGAGATGGTATAGTCTTGCATCAGGTAATTGCATTAAAGACAGCCTCAGACAGCATCAGAGGCACCAAAATGCATGTTTATTAAGAAGAAAAAAGAAAAAAAAAAAAAAGCTCAGCACTTCCCTTAGATTGGTATGACCAAGAGCAAACCCAAGTCTGGATTCTCCACTTCTCTCCCTGTGCCTTTTATCTATCTATTGCTTATAGTTACTGGCCTGTCTATGTCTGTCTGTGTCTGTGTCGTCTGGCTATGTCTGTGTCTGTGTCTGGGTCTGGGTCTGGGTCTGGGTCTGGGTCTGGGTCTGTCTGGGTCTGGGTCTGGGTCTGGGTCTGACTGGGTCTGGGTCTATGTCTGGCTGTCTTCGAATCTGGCTGTATCTGTGCCTATGTCTGCCTGTGGCTGTGACTGTGGCTGTGGCTGGGCCTTTGCCTGTGCCTGTCCCTATTGCTGTCTGTACCTATACCTACCTGGTATCTAACTGTCCCTAGCAAAGGACTTTGGTCTGTATTTATTAGCCAGCATCACATGAGGAAGGAATGAGGGATACTTTGTAGAAATCGTCAACAGTCCACAAGGGATTAAGTTATTTGCATCAACTGACCCCAAGCATCCAATACTGCAAGCAAGCCTCTATCAAGTAGTGTCCTATGCCGCTTCCAACATTTATCGAAAATATTTGTTGAATACAGTTGCTTTTGACCTGTTTTGTGTTTTCAACAAATAATTATCATAACAGGTATGCATTGATCTCTGGGCCAGGCCATGGAAAAGTACATAACAAGATTAAAGCTATCCATTAGCTTAAACTGAAAAAGCAGATTATGTGGGAAATCCAAGGCAAGTAAGATTGGGTGTTACACTGTTCTCTTAAAGGTACATTAAACAACCAGGCTGAGTGCACAGTAGAATATCAGGCTAAATCTTAAGTGACCGGGTTGCACTCTTAACTTGGCTATAAAGTCCAGCAAAAGCTCCAGTCTGTTGGAGTATAAGATATCTTTTCCTAAAACTGCATCATTATAGATATAGACGCTAAAAATGGCTACTCTAAAGAGCTTCTGGAAACCTTTACACACATTGTGTTTAGTCAGTACTGCCCTAGGAAATGTGTTCTATCGCTGTTATTTTTCACAGACAAGGAAGTTGAGACGCAGAAAGCATAAGAAATATGTTTTGAGGTCAAGGAAGGCCAAACCAGGACTAAAGGAATGGCCAAGACCCAGGCTCTTTTCACTGTCTGATTCTGACCTTAATTCATTTACCAAATGGCCTGCTGTGGCCTGTGGCCTGTGCCCTGTGCTCTATATCAGACTATGTGGCTTTCCTGCTGAAAGCTCAACCGTGTCTTTATGGTTCAGGATAGGAGGCCGGTGAAGGCTGAGGACACAGTGACGGTGACCTAGCTACTGTGTGGCCAAGTGGATTTGAGTGAAAGGTTGGACAGGACCGCACGTGTCTCGGTGAGTCTGTGTGGAAGGAGGCGATGCCTGGGAAATTTTCCAATAAGACGTCTCCTGAAGCCTTTGAAAACCTACCGATAGGTAGTTCGAAAACATCCGTCACTGCCACTGCAGACACTGTCGCTGTGGACTACCCAGGGTCCTGTGGGAGTAACCGAACAAAGAGCACTGGGCTACATTGCCTGGGGCACTGAGGGCTCAGCCCTCATCAGCATAACTAACGTACGGAAGCCGTGGCCACTGTGTCTCCTAATGGAGTTTAGAACTTCTTGAAAATTTTGGAGGCTGTAAGGCTTTATAGGTGGTGACGTGTTTTCTATCTGCACCATCCAAAATAATCGGAGATGGCTCTCAAGCACTAGAGAGGGTAAAAGTGCAACCGAAGACTATAGTTTCCGTTCGATCTGATTCCAAGCAACTTGTGCAGAGGTAGGCACCAGTGGCTCAGCACTAAGGCTCATGTAGCAGCT